ATATATATAATTTTAATCCTCACCTGAGGATACTTTTACCATTGCTTTTTAGAGAAAGTGAAAGGGAGAAAGAAAGAGAGAGACACTGACATGAGAGAGACACATCAATTGGTTGCCTGCCGCAAGAGCCCAGTCCGGGGCTGGGGATCGAGCCCACAACCAAGGTACCTGCCTCTGGCTGGAATAGAACTCAAGACCCTTCAGTCCGCAGACTGACGTTCTAACCACTGAGCCAAACCGGCTAGGGTGAGAGTAATATTTTTATAATCTTTGGAGGGCAGGAACTTTTTTAAGCAATAAAGGAAAAAGTAGATGAATTTAATGATATAAATTCAAAGCCTTCTTTGTATGGCAAAAATATAGTAATAAAATAAAAAAATAACTAAATGGAAAAAATATATTTGCAACAAACATCAAGAAGGGTTAAATATCGCTAATTTATAAAGAACTCTTAAAAAGTGTTAAAAAGGAGCCCAGGCGGGCGTGGCTCAGTGGTTGAGCGTCGGCCTAGGATCCAGGAGATCGGGGTTCGATTCCTGGTCAGGGCACATGCCCAGGTTGCGGGCTGCAGCTGATCAATGACTCTCTCATCATTGATGTTTCTATCTCTCTCCCTCCCTCTCACTTCCTCTCTCTGAAATCAATAAAGATATATTTAAAAAAAAAAAAGTGTTAAAAAGGAAAAATAACCCAAAAGACTAGACAAAGAAAATAAATAGGTAGTGTATAAAGAGTAAGTAAAAATGCTGAACCCTCACTAGTAGTCCTGGAAATACAAGATGCCATCTTTTATCCATCACACTAGCCTAAAAAAAAAAATCCAGTATTGGTAAGATGGTAAGAAAAGGACTCATATCCCTGATGGGAGTGTGTCCTAACACAACTTAAAAAATAAAAGGGACATGGGAATTTTCATTAAAACTTACAGTGGAGACTGGCTGCGCATCCTAACCCGCTGAATGATCCCGCCGCGCCTCGTGCCAAGACCTCACCGAACGCCAAGACCTCACCAGAACGCCAAGACCTCCTCACCAAACGCCAAGACCTCACCGAACGCCAAGACCTCACCGAACGCCAAGACCTCACCAGAACGCCATCTCAAACGGAACGCGCCATGGAAACCTTGATGTTCACGTTTCACACGTTTGCTGGGGATAAAGGCTACTTAACAAAGGAGGACCTGAGAGTGCTCATGGAAAAGGAGTTTTCTGGATTTTTGGAAGATCAAAAAGACCCTCTGGCCTTAGACAAAATAATGAAGGACCTGGACCGGTGCCGAGGCGGGCGGGGGGCTTCCAGAGCGGCTTTTCGGCGCCGGCGGGCTCTCCACCGGGCGATGACTACTTCGTGGAGCACATGAAGCAGAAGAGAAGGAAGCGGGCGGCACCGAGCAGTGGCTTCCGCCCTGAAAGAGGGCTCCCACTGGGGGCTTAAGGAGTTTGCGCCCCCACAGCTTCCCCCTGTATGAGGATGTCATGAGATCGAGACCCTTAAAAAATGTACAAATAAAATCCCACCCCTACTCAACAAGGGAAAGAAAAGCCAATGGAAGTCAGATAAGCTTTTGATTTTTATATTGTTTGTATCCTCTTGCCCTCAATAAACATATTTCTTTTTTACTTCCTAAAAAAAAAAAAAAATTATAGTGGAAATAGATTCCCACTCTGGGGGAATCTATCTTGCCCAAAGACAGCACTACTATGAACGTAATGTATTTATTTATTATAGAAAATTATAATGAATATTGATTATGATTTTTCCCTATAATTTTTTTTTCTGGCTTTTTTCCTAGATTACTTCTACCACTGACCTCATGAATCTCATTCTCACCAATAAAACAAACTATAAAGAGGCTATATTTTCCCACCATTATTTTATAAAAATTTTAAACCTACAAAATGCTGAAAGGATTATATGGTGGGCACCTATATACCCAATACTCATTACCTTAATTCTACAATTAACATTTTGTTGTGTTTGCTGTAGCATGTATCTGTTCATCTATCTATGCCATAGAGAAGTTACTCTTTTTTTAAGAATATGAGGTTATTCTTTTTTTCTTTTTTTTTCTTTTTTTAAAATATATCTTTATTGATTTCAGAGAGAGGAAGGAGAGGGAGAGAGAGATAGAAACATCAATGATGAGAGAGTCATTGATCGAGCCTACAACCCAGGCATGTGCCCTGACCGGGAATCGAACCCCAATCGCCTGGATCCCAGGTCGATGCTCAACCGCTGAGCCACGCCCGGCCGGGCTCTTTTTTTCTTTTTTTAAGAATATGTTTCTATTGATTTTAGAGAGAGAGGAAGAGAAAGGGAGAGAGAGAGAAACATCAATAAGAGAGAAACATTGAGCAGCTGCCTCCTGCATGCCCCCTACTGGGGATCAAGCAGCAACCCACGCATGGGTTGCTGACCAGGAATTGAACTGGTGACGTCCTGGTGTGTGGGATGATGTTCAACCAACTCAGCCACACTGGCCAGGGCTGAAGAGGTTATTCTTAACTCCTTTATCTTTTTCAATGGCAAGGCATGTTTAAACATAAATAGTGAACAAAGCCAGGAAGAAAATAAAGTTTTTACCTTATTAATAACTCCAATATCCTCTTCACTATTCACAATTCAAGATTAACAGTTTCTCCAAATACAGTGATTAGTGACAAATCCAAATCTTTATATGTTAAACAACTGAATTTTTTATTACTCTATTATCTCTACTTGTACTGTAAAATTTCTGCTTTTGAGAAATATCGTCAATGCAAGAAAGCACTGCAATTGTCAGTTTAACAAAAGTTCTTATATTTGGGTGTTTCTCTTCTCCTTACCTACATTGCTGTGTAGATGATGCCTATGTCAGCATTTATATGTTTCCCCTAAAGACAATTCTTAGGAAAGGCCAGACTTCTCTCACACCACCAAACAAACACAACCCATGAAGGAAAACATCTATTTTTACATCAGAATTTCATTTCTTCCCATGTACTCTAAAAGTATTATGATGAATACTGTATTTTCTGCTTCAACATTTATTCCTAGCCATTTTTTAAAGATCTTTGTAATTAAGGTAAATATACATAAAATAAACAAATTTTAAGTATAAAGATTTAATTTTTTATTCTACACCCATATACCACTACTCTGATAAAGCTATGCAACAGTGTCAGAACCCCTGGAAAGGTTTTCTTGTGCTCCTTCCTAATTCATACTCAGCTTTATGGCATTTAACAACCTGCCCCTCAAGTAAAACCACTAAGCTGTCTTTTATTATTGCTAGTTTTTAAACTCCATACAATGGACTGACTTCTTTTGCTTAACATTATATCTGCGATATTCATCCACTATTGCATGAAGCAATAGTGTATCCTTTTTTAGTGCTTTGTAGTTTTCAATTATAGGAATAAATCACAACTTATTTATTCAGTCTAATATTGATGTGCTTTTGGGTAATTTCCATTTGGCGGATATTAATAACAAAACTGCCACGAACATTCTTGTACACGTCTTTTTATGGACACGTGTTCTTAATTTAGAGATTTTCATATGAATGCATGCAAACAGTTATAGTTCTGTGACTGATATTCTATATAAAATTCTTGATAAATTTTTTATGTTTCTTAATATAATTCATTTTAGGTCCTAAACCTCTAGATAATAACTAATATCTTGTTCTAAATAAAATATCAGTTTACATGTACGTATTTCCATGTATAGGCAATAATTATTAATAAACCAAAATATAACTGACCCACATTTTCCCATGGCTTCAATATACTGTAAAGCAGCAATTTTAAACTGGTGTGCAGCAAGAATTTTTTAAAACATGCAATACCTGACTACTTAGTCAAGGGCACTGACCTCTCTTCCCTAAGATTGTCAAATAAAAAAATGACAACAGCCAACACAACAATAGCCATCCAGTGTGAAGGAATCAAAATTGTATCTATTAATTTTTGTCAGGATCGGCAAAAAATGTATTTTTTGGTGTGCCTCAGAATTTTAGTAATTAGTTTATGTGTGCCATAAGATGAACAAGGTTGAAAAATCGCTGCTATAAAGTAATACAAGTTACAACATGGTGGAAAAGAACCTTGCCTGGCAAGAAGAGTTCTGGCTCTTTGGACAAGTCACTTAAGCTTTCTGCAACTCAACTGCTTCATGTGTAAAATGAAAGGTGAAGCTAAATGATCTCATACACTACCTTGTTTTAATAGCTACAACTTTCTTAGGCTAGCCATAAAACCACTATTATTTATGGCACTTAACATGCTATGATTCTCAGATTCAAGCCTAAGTATCCCTCCTAAAAGAGAACAAGAATAAAAATAACAAATACCTATAATTAAAAAGTGGGAGACCATCTGCAAATCTTGAAGTTAGAGGATGTCCATCTTTATCATGGTAGAATGCAAATAGCCCAGCAGAGAAACCCTATAAGAAAAAGTTCAAAATGTCTTAAAGTGAAATATCAATTTTGATTAGAGGCATCATAACATGCTGCTATCAAAAGAGAACAGTGGTATAACCACATAAAAGCACCACATCGGTACTTCTACTGGAATTTCTCATGTTGAAACTGGACAACAATTAAGTGTTCCATATTTTTGAATTTTAAATTCCAATTACTTGAGGTTATTAAGTGAGGAAACCAAAAGTAATGGTAACAAAGATATTCTTTAGTACTAGTATAGACAATGTATTTATTTGTTTAAAAAAGTGTTTATCACAGTTGATCTTCACGGGAACTTACTAAACTCTATAATAGCTTTCAGGAAATGGTACTATTGAGAACAATTAACAATACAGAGTAGGGGATAAGTGACCAAACATGTTCCTAAGAGGACTCCCAACTAAACAACCTACCATCACATCTTAAAGGGCTAGAAAAAGAAGAACAAAAGCAACCCAAAGTCAGCAGGAGAAAGGAAATAATAAAAATTAGAGCAGAACTGAATGAAACAGAAAACAAAGAGACTATACTAAACTTAATAAAACAAAGAGCTGGTTTTTTGAAAAGATTAATAAAATTCACAAACCCCTGGCTAGCCTCACTAAGGAAAAAAGGGAAAAGACCCATGGAAACAAAATCAGAAATCACCATAGACATCACAGATATACCACAGACATCACAGATATACAAAGGATCATACTAGAATATTTATGAAAGACGATATGCCACCAAGTTCAATACCTAGAAGAAATAGGTAAATTCCTAGAAATATATAACCTTCCTAGGACTAAATCATGAAGAACTGGAAAATCTAAATAGACCGATCAGCCCTAGCAGGTTTGGCTCAGTAATTAGAAAGTCAGCCTGAGGACTGAAGGGTCCTGGGTTCGAGCCAAGGGCATGTACCTTGGTTGCACACTCCATGGTCGAGGTGAGTGCAACTAATCAATGAGTCTCTTTCACATCAATGTTTCTCTCTCTCCCTCTCCCCCACACTTTCCACTCTCTGCAAAGCAACGGAAAAAATATCCTCTGGTGAGGATTTAAAAAAATAATTAAAATAAATAGACCAATCAGCAACAAGGCAATTGAAACAACCATCAAAACCCTCCTCCCCCCCGCAAAAAAGTCCAGGACCAGATGGTCTCACCAGTGAATTCTACCAAACGTTCAAAGAAGATTTAAAACCTATCCTTCTTAAACTCTTCCAAAAAATTGTGCAAGAGGCAATCCTTCCTAACACATTTTATGAGGCCAATATAACCCTGATACCAAAACCTGTCAAGGATAATACACAAAAGGAAAACTACAGACCAATATCTCTGATGAATCCAGATGCAAAAATTCTAAACAAAATACTAGCAAATCGAAGACAGTACTACATCAAAAAAATAATACATCATGATCAAATGAGGTTCACTCCAGGGGCCCAAGGATAGTTCAACATACGTAAATCAATCAATACAATATACCACATTAATAAAAGAAAGGATAAAAATCATATGATCTTATCGATACATGCAGAAAAAGCATTTGATAAGACACAACATCCATTTATGATTAAAATACTCAATAAAATAGGAATAGAAGGAAAATACCTTAACATAATAAAGGCCATATATGATAAACCCTCAGCTAATATTATACTCAATGGTGAAAAGCTGAAAGCTTTTCTCTAAGGTCAGGAACAAGACAAGGATGTATACTCTCACCACTCTTATTCAACATAGTTCTGGAAGCCCTGGCCAGAGCAATAAGGCAAGAGAAAGAAATAAAAAGCATCCAAATAGGGAAGGAAGAAGTAAAACAGTCACTTTTTGAAGATGACAGGATTATGTATATAGAAAACCCTAAAGACTCCACCAAAAAAACTATTAGAAACAATAAACAAATACAGTAAAGTTGCAGGATACAAAATCAATGTACAAAAATCCATTGCCTTCCTGTACACTAACAACAAAACCTCAGAAAAAGAAATGAAAAAAACCCCACAATTCCTTTTGCAATTGCAACAAAAAGAATAAAATACCTAGGAGTAAACTTAACAAAGAACATGAAAGACCTATATACTGAAAATTATAAAGCAGTATTAAAAGAGATTTAAAAAGACACAACAAAATGGAAAAATATCCCATGTTCATGGATTGGAAGAATCAACACAGTTAAAATGGCCACATTACCCAAAGTAATGTAGAGTTAATGCAAATCCCATCAGAATACCAATGTCATTTTTTAAAGAAATAGAACAAGAAATCATCACATTTGTATGGAACCACAAAAGACCCCAAATAGCCAAAGCAATCCTAAGAAAAAAGAATGAAGCTGGAGGTATCATGCTACCTGACTTCAAATTATACTACAGAGTTATGATAATCAAAACAGCATGGTACTGGCAGAGAAACAGACACACAGATCAGTGGAACAGAATAGAGAGCCCAGATATAAAACCACAGGTATATAGGCAGATAATTTTCGACAAAGGAGCCAGAAACACACAATGGAGTAAAAACAGTCTCTTCAATAAATGGTGCTGGGAAAACTGGAAAGCCACATCTAAAAGAATGAAACTGGATTACAGTTTGTCCCCATGTACAAAAATTAACTCCGAATGGATCAAAGACCTAAATGTGAGACCCGAAACAGTAAGTTATATAGAAGAAAACATAGGTACCATACTTATGGACCTTGGTCGTAGAGAACATTTTATGAACTTGACCCCAAAGGCCAAGGAAAGGCAAAAATAAATGAATGAGACCATATCAAACTAAAAAGCTTCGGCACAGCAAAAGAAACTGACAATTAAACAAAGAGGCAGCCAACCACATGGGAGATGATATTTGCAAACAGTAGCTCAGACAAAGGTTTAATTTCCAAAATATATAAAGAACTCATAAAACTCAACACCAAACAACCCAATCAAAAAGTGGGCAGAGGACCTAAACAGATGCCTCTCCCAAGAAAACATATAATATATGTCAGCCAATAAATATATGAAAAGATGTTCAACCTCACTAGCAATTAGGGAAATGCAAATCAAAACTACAATGAGATACCAGCTCACACCTGTTAGAGTGGCTACTATCAATAAGACAAGCAATAACAAGTGCTGGAGAGGTTGTGGAGAAAAGGGAACCCTCATTCACTGCTGGTGGGAATGTAGACTGGTTCAACCACTATGGAAAATAGTCTGGCAATTCCTCAAAAAATTAAGAATAGAGCTACCATATGACCTAGCAATCCTTCTCCTGTGTATCTAACTAAAAAACTCAAAAACATGTATTCACAAAGATATATGCACCTCTATGTTCATTGCAGCATTATTCATGGTGGCCAAGACATGGAGACAACCAAAGTATCCTGCAATAGAGAACTGGATAAAGATGTGGTACCTGTACACAATGGAGTACTACTCAGCCATAAGAAAGGGTGAAATGCTGCCATTTGCAACAACATGAATGGTCCGTAAGAATATTATGCTAAGTGAAATCAGTCAGAAAAAGCTAAGAACCATATGATTTCACTCATATGTGGGATATAAAACTGAAACTCGTGGACACAAACAGCAGTATGGTGGTTGCCAGAGTGAAGGGGGTGAGGAAGCTCCTGGACACAAACAGCAGTGTGGTGGCTGCCAGAGGGAAGGGGGTCCTAATATATGGTGACGGGAGAAGATATGACTTTGTGTGGTGGGCGCACAGAGCAATATACAGATCTTGTAACATAGAAACCCACACATGAAACCTACATGTTCATATTAACCATTCTCATCCCAATAAATTTAATAATAAAATAAAGCACTTCTGTAACTACTTCTTTATGTATGTCTTATACATTGAGAATATGCAATAGCTTATATTCAAATAACTAACAATCATAAAAGATCAGTTAATCAATTTCATTGGCAAATTTCTTTGCTTACATAACTAGCCTCTATGTCATTCAAAGCTTGCCAGAATGGTTAATGGAATCCAGATTATTCTTTCATTCCTATAGTTCTTTTTTAATCTCTGAAGATGCAAAGGGCACTTAATGGAATCAGCTAAGAAAATCTAAATAGCTTTAAATATACAATTCACTGAAGTTATATAAAGCTTAAAACAGTATGATTTGTCTCATCCTTTATAATAATCTAAAGGTACATTTTTCCCACCCTATCAACTAGAAAATTTTTCTAATCATTTATATTTCAGAAGGATTATCTAGTATTCAAAGTACCATGGATGACTTTAGTTGATAGCTATGCATACACATAACTTTACAGGGAGTATCTGTGGTTGTTAAACATTGAATTCTTACCATCCTCCAGGATGGTTTTTGAGACTTAAACTAATCTTTAAATTTCTTAAGTTTTTATAATTTTTAAAATAATTCAAATATACAAAAAAGTTTCAAAAATCAAGTAGAAACTTATGTGTTCTCTTTAGGAGAACTTAGGATGTTAGTTTTGCCTTATTTTCTTCAGGTTTGTTTTTTTCAAAGAAATAAAACACTGCAGAGTAAATACTGCTGAAGCCTCACTACCTAACCCTTTCTCCTCCCTCTCTTCCCAGAGGGTAACCATTACACTGAAGTCAATTTGCATAACTCTCATATGTGATTTTATATTCAATGGTGCCCCACTTTAGTTCGAAATTACTTGACTGCTAAAGCAAGTGTGAATACTTTCTCATATATTTCTTGGCCAACTGAACTTTTTCTTTTGTGAATTGTCTATGCATAACCTAATTTATCTCATGTTTGAGACCTCTGCACTCATGTTCACCTAAGAACTAGATTTTAAAACCTGTTGTTTTTCTCTGGTTCTCTCAAGTATCTATAGATTTTATAACTTAAAGCTTAAAGTGTTAGAATGATGATTGTCTTTCACCAAATTTAACAGGTTCAGTTTGCTTTTTTTAATAAAGGGAAAATAGATGATTCATTTTATTTTTATTTTTTAAGTATGTTTTTATTGATTTCAGAGAGAGGAAGGGAGAGCAAGAGAGAGGAACATCAATGATGAGAGAGCGATTGATTGGCTGCCTCCTGCACACCCCCTACTGGGGACTGAGCTCGAAACCCAGGCATGTGGTCTGACCTGGAATCAAACTATGATCTCCTGGTTCATGGGTCGATGCTCAACCACTGAGCCATACCAGCCGGGCAATGATTCCTTTTAGAATCTCCTTACTTGAAATATATAAGTACTATCTGCTTATACTACAGTTTCACCAAGTTATTCAATATATTTGCTGATTTAAAGACTGAGGCTTAAGAAGAATACAGCCAAGGGAAGCATATGGAAATGGAGTTGGACTATTAGGTTAAGTTAGTCCTGAACCCCACATTTTATACTTCTGGTAAATCAATATCTTCCTTAATATTTGAGACAAAAAAAAAAAAAAACAAAGACCAAGGCTTGCATTTCAAGGTCACACAGGACAGCTCACTTAATAAAACTAATAAATAATCACCATTAGTTTTATTACACATTACTGTGTAAAACATAGTGCTAAGCCATTTATATGTTTTGTCTTATTTAATCTTCAAGAGAAAAAAAATCCACTGTAGTATGTACTACTATCTTCATTTTACAGATGAAACTGAGGCTTACCAAGGCTAAGTAATTTGCACAAGATCCAAAGATTTTTAGTGATAGAATTAAGAATTACACCTACATCTGTGCAATCGATTCTTTCTCTTAAATTTACTGCCATCTACTTTCTAAATACACAAATGGCATCAAGAGAACATTTCCTAGTGTATTAAGCAACACTGTTTAATCCCCTAGACATAGAGTAAAAATTCACTATAAATTAGGGAAATGGAAGAAGCCTAAATAGACCAAGAGTAATTTTAGAAATGAGATCTCTATAGGAGATAGGAAAGATCTATAATTAGTGTATCAGTTGTCATTTTAGAGGAAAGTAAATTTTTCAAAATTACTAAGTTTTTTCCTGTAGAAAATCATTTTCTTAAAAATCCTATTTGTCTAATGAATTAACTTGTTTAATTATTTTAAGTAATATAACTCAACCTAGCCCATATGCAATCATTAGAAATTTTCTATTGGCAGAGGCCTAATCAACTAGGTTTTAGGGAACACAAATCTAATAATCTACATAATCTTAAAATTTAATGTATACATCAAAATGTAAGCACAATTAACAGAAAACCAAGCCACGTGCACACACACACACACACAAAAGAACAGTTAACAAGAAAAGTTACCAGGGCATGAATAATTTCATGTTTCACTGTGGACAACATCCCAATAAACTCCTGAGGCTGGGTAGAGATCATATTTGGACACAGGTTAGCATATCCTGCTATTGGCCTGTTAAAATAGACATTGAATTTTTATTATATTCCAGAACAATATGCATTAGGATATTTATTAACCTATACTTTTCTATCAAAAACTGTCCAAGGTGTGGCTCAGCTGGTTGGAGCATCTTCCAGTACACCAAAAGGTAATGGGTTCAATTTCCGGTCAGGGCACATACCCAGGTTGTGGGTTCCATCCCTGGTTGGGGTATGTGCAGGAGGCAACTGATGGATGTTTCTCTCTCACATCAATGTTTCTTTCTCTCTCTCTCTCTCTCCCACTCCTTCCTCTCTCTAAGATCAATAAAACAACAACAACAAATTGCCCAAGGTCAGAAAAATCTTTGCTAAATATCAAATCTTAGCTAAACATTGTAACTTTGTACAATAACATCTAACTTTCATTGCCTTTTACATTGAAGATATACACCTCTGTGTATATCTAATGGCATGGCATGGCTAATCAACACTTATTCCTACAAAAGGATTTAGTCAGTTAATTATACTTCAGTGTGAATTTTTAAAACATGTCAATATATACCATAAAAGGAAATGTACTGAAAAATTCAAATTTTAACACTATTTTTCTTGCAAAATCCATATTTGACTTCAGCATTTCACTACATTTACAGGCACAGGAACGGTCAGTAAGTAGAGAGGGAAACCAGATATACAATCATTCAGGTTGCTGACCAGTGCTGAACCTTATCTCCATCTCACTATTCCCTTTCCTGCCCCAATTCCACCTTCATTCATATAAAAAATCTTTATTTTTCCATCATCTTCTCTCACATTCCGTACCTTCTAGAATCTACAGAATTCTACATGTCCTCTGCACCCAGAACCTGAAGGTCCAAGACCTGTCTGGGACTCAGAGTAATTCAGTCAGTCCCACCATGCACCCACCTGTCTTTCAAAAGCGCTGGCAATGGTAAGGAACCCTAAAGTCCTTTCTCTCACCACGACCTTAACATTTTACCATAGAAAACCCACAAACCTCACTAAATTTTGATTGCCTACTTACAAAGTAACATTTGTCTTATTTAAATAAAAAACTTATAGTATACTTTCTTCATATTTCAAAACAACAGACTTACACTTAGAAAAAGTATGTATATAATTCACTTACCAAAACACTGGTAGTGACCTCTAAAATACAAAATGGATGTCATTGTCAGACTTAAAACCTATAAGGGACTTCTATAGCATTTAGATTAAAACAGCCCTGTCTTTCTTTTCAATCCATTTCACAAAGCTCTCATTCTCAAACACAGTGTTCACTGAAGTGACTTCTAACAGCAATAAGTACACATGGCTTCTTCCTAACATAAGCTTATTTGTAAGTATAGTTAACTAATATCTTAGGAAAAAAAGAATACTATATTAAAATATATATATATTTTTACTAAACAATATTATATACATATCTGCAAAACATATAGCACTTTCTTCTTCAGTAATACATACACTCAATATTTGGCTATAAGCTTTTGAAAATTCAGAAGCTAAAGATTTTTGAGTCAATTTCATGGATCAACAATTATATAGTATCATGGTAACAGGCTGCTTTTCATAATCCATAATGCTGATTTTTACCTCCTTCCACCTTTGGTACTGACAGAATAATTCTGAAGCATATACTAATGCTTCAGAAAATTTCTTATTCCTTAAATTAATTACATATCAATAGAAGTGAAACAACTCTTTAAAGCCAGCAAGTCATTTGACAGATAAATGAATGTTTAGGACCTCAGCAATGGTACTTATGTACACACAAATTGGCCACATTAACTCTCCTATATTCGAGGATGTTACATAGAGTCTATTCTGAGATTTACAGTTTCTACTGCCTTTAATTGATTTGTCTGGAGTGTAACAGGCAGTCTTCTGCATATATAACTTTTCATCTCAAGGCTGCTTCACTGGAAAAATCTTTTTGAACTCTTTTGTAAATAAAAAAGAGGACTCTAAATTTTTAAGTGATAATTTTGCTAAGTAAAGCACATATAAATGATATGACAATTAGATAAAGTTATTTTTAACATCTTACTTACAGCTTAGCACAGAATTGCTAACATTTAAGTTCAAACTGTTTCCTCAGAGAGGTAATCACTTCCAAAGAAAATTCTCTTGACAGACTTTTTCTTCGGAGTTGGTACTGGCATTACCATATGCACAACAGTCCTATAACCTGATTCCCCAATTCCCTGCCCCCCCGTTCTGGCAGTGTGCTGTTTCTTACTACTGAAGGCAATCTGGCAAATGCACACTTCCTGTACTATAAACACATAATATAGTTTGTTTTAAGAGTTCCCATATTACATCTTGGGAAGTAAGTCTCAGGGGAAAGTTTACCTGTCCATTTTTGCTTCCTGCTGACAATAAGCTGCATAAGAGATGATGTTTTCATGGCTGCATCTCTCAGTGGCCAGAGCACCAACATAAAGAACGAAGTCAGCATCTCGGACACCCTCTTGGTCTGGCACACCCACTGCTCCACAGGGCCACTTACCCCCACGGCAGACCCTGCATTGCTGCACCCATGGGGAGCAACAGAAAATCAGACCAAAGACAAGGTTAGCTGTGGAGACTTTTAATTTATAGTGAATCCAGACTCTGATTATATATAATTTAATTTTTATTTATCCTTCAACTTTTATCAAAATCCATACCTCCCTCTACTCACTTCTTGTCTCTAATCTTAAATTTATTTTATTAAAATTTCTACTTTATGCAAAATCATCATAAATCTACAATCTTAATTTAAAAAAACAATTGCTATTTATAAAGGGCAGCCAACCAGGATGCAAAAAACAAATGTAAAAGGTCTTAAACCCTGAAACTAAGTGAAATTTAAAAGGGACCTCCTTATACATATTTTTTTTTTTTTTGCAACTTCCTACAAATCTATAGTTATTTCAAAATTAATTGAAAAAAAAACTTTTTTTTAATCCTCACCCGAGGATATTTTTTCCATTGCTTTTCAGAGAGAATGGAAGGAGG